AAAACTTGTCAGGATGATACAATTTCCAGGGCTGATTCCGTCCTCTCTAATAAATAACTTTTTGATTTGAATCAAGGGAGAGGTTTAACAGACTTTCTTTCTTCCCTAATGTGATATAAATCGCAGATGCACTTTTATTGAATGGTTAAAGCATCGACATGGAGATAATCAAGACAAAACGTCCGGACAAAAACCATCGCGAGAAATAAAGCTGGTTAATAAGATTTTTGAGAAAGCTTTGTGTTAAAAAGTAAAAAGGGAAAACAGCTGAAGGTGACAGTTAGTTCATGGTTAATAGGATAAAGGCTGCATGGTTGAGCTGCACACTTCTGCTTGCAAAGGTTCAGCCACACCAAAGGGCTGAATAGGGTGCTTTTAAAACATAGGACATTTAACACATCTGTTATAGCCTTTAACAGAGAAATCAGGTAAACCCACTTTCAATAGTTGCTTTCATCACCCAGCTCCAAAGGGAATTAACTACGCTTGCGCCTATTTCCATATTTGCCACCACAACCAAAACCTCTCTCTGCCAGGAAAAAAAAAAAAAAAAAAAAAAAATCTATTTTCTACTTTTCCCTTAGACGACGTCATTTGCCCCTCACTCCAAAGTTAAGGGACTTGCGGCTCTGCCGCACCGAGCTGAACGCCCCTCCAGAAAATCTGGGCAGGCACGCAGCTAAAAACCGAGTTCAGGTGAATTTGCCGGCGGCGAGAAGGCTCCGAGCCACTGATACCGATTTGAAACCGAGCCTTAGCTTAGACTACCTTAGCCAAAAGGACCAAAACGCTGCAACATTGCCTTCGTTTTCGCGGGCGGAGGGCACCTATTTCCACTATTTTTTAATGTGGATGAGCTTAATTAACAGAACCAACAGACTGAGAACCTGAGGGGGCTGCTCCGGGTCCCACAAAGCCGTTCCCAGCTTTTCTACGTTCAATGCCCAGATTTTCTGGGAGCAGAGCTCTTACCGGCTACAACAGGGCTTACATTTCGGTCGGGTACGGGCAAGCCTCTCGCCTGAGCACACGTACGCCAGGCTCTTGCGAAGCTCGGATCCGGAGAGCAGAGCCTAACACCGCAAATTCGCAAATTGCCGGACCCTTGGCGCGCAGATAGGAAAAAACCCCCAACCGCACGCACAAATTTTGCCGCGTACCAATAACGGGGGGCGGAACACCCTCAAATCACGACAGGATCCGCTCGCCGAATATTCCACACACACACACACCCCCAGCAAAGCTTAGTTCCACGTTTTCTAATTTGTATTTTCCATCCCACAAACCCCGGGCTTTTCTGAGAGCCCGCAGATAAGTTTATATGAATATTTATTGATTTATTTCCTAAACTCAGCGGGGGAGCGGCAAATAAATTTAGTGCTTTCTTTAAATAATTCCCTTTCTACGAGGCAAGATGTCATTCGAAACTTTTAAATAGGCATTTAATTAGCCTGTGTGTGTTGCCTCTGAACAAAACCCTGCTGGGAGCCTTTGGAGCGCTGTATTCCAAAGAGGCGGTCAATATGCAAAATTGATGACTACACTTTCTTTGTGGCGGGGCCATTGTGCCCCGGTTGCTTATGAAGTCTAATCCAATCATAAATTGCAGCCCCGGACCAATGGAGGAGCCCGGAGCTCGCCCTGAATGAAGCTCAAGTGGAGAACTTTGTTGAACCCCATTGTTGGGGCTGTCACTTTTGAAAGAGCCTCCGCGGGGCTGACCGCTATAAAACCCATCGCCCGGGAGGAAGGGGCAGAGAGGACCCCGCCAGGCTTGCGAGCTGGATCTTTACTAAACGAGGTTTGCCAAGCAGAAAACAAACCCAAAGCAAACAAACAAACGAGGGAGCGGCCCCAGCCCCGCTCGGCCGACGGCCCCGGCGATGATGTTCCCCAGCCTCATCGCTCCGCCGGCCGTCTACCCCAGCCTCCTGCGCCCGACCCCCACCCTCACCTTGCCGCAGCCGCTCCAGTCCGCTTTTTCCAGCCATTC